ACCAGGTACCTCCCCCTTTTCTTGGCCCCCCCCAGCCTTATCCAGGGGTGCCCACCCCCCCCACCAGAGCTCCCAGGGTGGAGAGGCTCCACACACCCCACCAGCGCTTTTGCTGTGGCTGCAGCTCCCTCCTTGCCCGCCCTGGGGAAGAGGTGGCGGCCAGATGCAGCAGCGCGTCGCGGTCGGGGACAGCTCTGCCTGAACACGCTCAGGTGCCAGAGCCAGAGCAACAGGGCTTGAGGCACACGTCAGCTGGGTCTGGGTGATGGAGAACCAGCCCTTTGGGGAGGAGCTCAGCGGGGAGGTGGTCTTCCCCAGCCACACCTGGCTCAGGGACACAACCGCCAGCAGTCTGGGTGCAGGCAGCAGCCGGGCAAAGCCTGGCACCAACGACCCCTTGGGCTGGGGCATGCACAGGCCCCCGGCTGAACGTGGGGCTGCCACGAGCCGCACCAGCAGCTGCAGGGATCTTCCAGAGACAAAGGAAGCTGGCGGGCCGACCGCCGCCTCCCCGTTTTTAAGTGGGGATTTACTTGGCATCCTTGGCAAAGGCTGGGAAGCAGGGCACACGCAGTCGTGCTGGCAGCTGCCACGAGGCTGCAGGGGGAGGCGAGACAGGACTTCAGGGGTGGTCTGGGCCAACTGGCGCTCAGCACAAGTTAGTGCAGACAGGGCAGCTCTGGGCTGCTTCAGCCAAGGGTCGAGTATTTCCGAGGCCGGAGCCCTTCCTCTCCCTGTGACGCATTTTTCTTCCTAGTATCCGGTGGGAATGCCCCTTGCTGGCACTTGCCCCCATTGCCTCGTCCTGTCACCTAGCGCCTCCAGGAAGAACTGGGCTCCCTCGGCAGAGGGAGGCTCAGCACCCGGCTGAGCAAACCCAACTCCCTTGGCCTCTCCTCATCCACCGTGGGCTCCAGCCATTCTGGCAACCTTTGCTGGACCAGGGTGGCCCCAGCCCGGTTCGCGGGTGTGTTCCCCCCTCTATCTGCAGGACAATGGTTTCTCTGCCACACCCAGCCCGCCTGGGGGGTTGCAGGGACCTTCCCGAGCCCACAGACACCATCAGCAAGCGAAGACCAGCCCAGTCCAGCTGCAGCAGCAGCAGTGCCCTGTGTCCTGCTGCCCTCTGGCCAGCACCCCTCACTAGGGGCTGACGCCCCAGCAAGCAACTGCCTCCAGCCCCGCTCTTGCTGCCAAACTGGGTGCAGTTTGGGCCTTGCTCCCCCCTCAATGCTCTGTCACCCATGGAGACACTCCTACATTGCCCACAACCACGAGACTCGGCTTCCTGCCCGCGAGGAAGTCACCCCGGTATGCTCCTGGCAGCCACAAAGTGCTCCCCAAGACGTGAGGGACCATTACAGAACCCACCACCAGCTTGGCTGAGCAGAGCAGCGCTTCCACCAGGCTTTGGCTGAAGAAACTGCAGAGCCACTTTTTCCACCCAAACTCGAAAGAAGGGGGCCCAGGAGCCATCAGAGAAGAGCGGGCAGGTGCCTGTTTGTGCCTGTTCTCTCGCACCCCTTAACACACTGTCCCCATCACTCCTCCAGCCCCAGCTCTGCTGAGCATTAGCAGGCAGCAAACTTCTGCTGGATGAGTCTGTACCGGAGCAGATCCTGCTCGGAGACTGACGGCTGCAACCTCGCAGCAGCCTGCAGGAAGTCTTCCATGGTCAGGATCAGAGCAGAGCTCTCGGTATCCAGCCCTGCATGAGAGAGAGAACAGGAAAAGGCTGAGAGCCAAGCACAGAGGCGGCTGGCAAGATCCAACAGCCCCCTCTCCGGCCACCGGACACTGGAAAGAAAACCTGTGTGTCTCTCCTTCTCCCTGGGGCCAAGCACTGGAGGTGAGGATGATCACATCTGCAGAAACCGCCTGCCTGCCAGTAACCCAGAGCCTAACATTCAGACGTGGTCCCAAAGCCATCAAGGCTCTTCTCACACAGCCCAGTTACCGGTAGTGGTAACTCTCCTCTCTGCCCCTGTGCTGGGCCGCCCCAACACGTGGGACAGGTAGGGACTGGGCTCCTACCTTCCTCGATCCATTCCACCTTGCGTTTGACAGCGCACATCATGGCATCGGAGCACAGGGCATAGATGTCTGCTCCTGTCAGCTGAGCCGGGCATTTTTCTAGGACGGTGGTGAGATTCACGGTAGGATCCAGTTTAAACCTGCCAAGAGAGAAAACTGCAGGTGTAAAAGCCACAGAAAAAACAGACAAGAAGAGACAGGGCAGCCAGTGTGACTGGGCAGGAGGAATCAGAGGCCCCACGTCTAGCCGCTTCTGGACTGTGCTCTGCATGCTCCAAAAAAATCAAAGGGGTTGGTTGGTTTGTTTTTTCAACGCAGTCACTTCTCTTTGAAACATCCCCGCTGCAAGGTCCTCTCTCCTGCTAAGTAGGATCAAAGGCAACTTTGAGTTCTCACTCAGAGAAATTAAGTGCTCCACATGCCTGGGAACAGCCTACAGCCAGGGCTGGATAAGAACATGTTTAATTACAGACAGTACAAACCACTGTAACACCAATCCATCCCATCAGAGCCATGCTGCAGACAGTGAGCCTCCTTCAGCACGAACAACAGCACGGTGCTGGAGGGCATGACTGCCAAGCCACATGGTGTGAAACGATGCTCGCAGCCAGCCCACACTCTTGCCTCTCCTGCTAGCTTATCATCAAAGGCAGCAGCGATCACTGCTATCCAAGACAGAAAGTCCCTGCAGAGGCAGATTCACAGCTGCTCACCCAGCTGTGGTGGGTGGTACCTCTGCACCTGAACTGCAGGTCTTGCTTTTCTCCCTCCAGAGACGCTCTCAGGAGCTCAAAGCAGCTGGGGAAGCAGCCAAACCCCACTGCTTGGTGATCCCACACAACCAGTGTCTGGAAAAACAGAGCACAGGCTGAACACCCCTTAGCATCGGAGGAGGGGAGGCAATGAGATGAACAGAGCTGCCTTCACCCTTGGACCTGCAAAGAGCAGGAGATGTGCTAGGGGAACTCTTGCAGGAAGCAAATGGGAGCTTCCTGCCACGTTGCTGCACTGCGGTCTCATCACGCTGTTAGGATCTGGCTGAGCTCCTCGGGAAGAGCATGTGGGCACCGTGACTGAAGAACTCTACCCTCCGCTTGGACAGCCAGCTCAGCTGCTCCCATCTTGTAGGAAAGCCAGGCCCAGTTCTGCTTCTGGAGTTGCCACATCCTCTTCCCCTACCTGCTGGCTGTGGGTCAGCGACTCAGGTGCTCCCCAGGGCTCAGACATGAAGCCAAGCTGGAGCACACTACGCACCAACCCCAGGAAGGCTGCGACCCATTGGAGGGTGGTGGAAGGCTGCTGCGAGAGCACAGGGTCACTCACTTCCTGGTGACGGCGCTCAGCACCTGCAGCTGCGACTCCCGGTCTTCGTTTATGCCCACATAGACCAGCTTGTCAAACCTGTCAGCAGAGAGAAGACAGCTGAGAACAGACGAAGACAAACCTGCCACTGGTGCTCAGCCCTGTGCACCAGAAACTGAAGGGTAGCCCTGGGGCAGCTCCTTTTGCTGCCAAATTCGTGGATGATACAAAGCTTGGGGGGGAAGCAATGGAGGGCAGGGCTGTCCTGGGGGGAGCTGTCAATGGGGGAGCCCGTGCTGGAGGGCAGGGCTGCTCTTCAGAGGGACTGGGGCAGGCTGGAGAAACGGGCTGACAGGAACTACATGAGCTCCAGCAACAGCAGATACAAAGTCCAGCCCCAGGATGGGCAAGCCACAGGCATGAGGACAGGCTGTGTCTGTCAGCTACAGGTAGCTCTGCAGAACAGGCCCTGGGGGACCAATTCCTCCCACCGGTTTGGTGCCACAGCAGGTCCCTTATTGCCCTGCTGTGCTGCTGGGGCAATAACCAGGGTGGTGGGGGATAACGAGCAGTGGTATCTTGTGCTGCTGCTACAGCCATAGGCACTGGCCTCCTCTTGGCTTCCTATCTCCCCCACAAGCCAGGACCAGGGGGCTTTAGGAACAGTCTCTGTGGAGGGAACATGGTGGCGACACAGTCCAGCTCATCACTGCCTGAGGAGCTCTGGGGAACTACCCTGGAGCGAGGCACAGTAGGATGCAACATACCTGCCCGGCCGGAGCAGAGCTGGATCCAGGAGGTCAGGCCTGTTCGTAGCTCCAATGACAAATACCTCTCTGGTGGAATGAAGGCCATCAAGCTCAGCCAGGAGCTGCGAGACAACTCTGGAGGGAGCAAGACAGGACGCTCACAACTAGGCCTTGACAAGTCACCCACTGTCACCCTCAGCCACCAAATGAAAAGAGGAATAAGCCAAGCCACTAGCAGGTCCATGTCTTGGACTTCAGCTCATATTTCTCTTCCCTGCAGAGCCCTGACACAGCCATACAGACTTCTCCATTTGAGCGCAGCCAGTGAACGTGTGGGCTCATTGCAAAGCGAGTGCAACCCCCTGGTACCAAGGTAGTCCTTCAGGCCTGTGCTTGGCTCTGAACCCTTCCAGGATGGCCACATGTGCTTATACTTGCTATCAGACACTGGCAACACAGACCAAACATAGGCAGGCACGCACGGCTATGGCTCAAGTTCCCCACTCGGATGTGCTGGCTGGTCCTAACTCTCCCCCACTACGTGGTACTGCCCAGCAAGTTCAGCTGCAAGACTGCCCTGTCAGTCCACACCAGGAACACCCTGGCAAGCCAGTGACGCTGCCAAACAGTCCTCGGGGCAGTTAGCGGCACACACATTGCAGATCTAGTTCTGCGGCCACGGGGCTTAAGCTGGTCTGGCAGCACAGTATTTCAGTGCTGCACAGACCTCCTGGAACGGGGGTATCTCCACCAGGTTCTGGGATCACCTGAGGCGACCAATGGGCACCATACCCAGCCCCTTCCAGAGCTGCTGGTTTGTGTGTGTGACGATGGACGCCGGGGGCACGTGGTGTCACTGGAAACCTCTGCAGAACCCCTCATGGATGGAGAGGAAGATTGGATGGGGACTACCAGCTCAGCAGAAGAGGCCTGGGGGAAATAACCCTGTTTCTGGGTATCTCCAAGCTGTACATACTTTGCTTCTACCAGAGGCAGCTGAAAGGTTTCCCACCACAGGGAAACAGCAGCTAATAGGAAGACAGCACGGCAGGGGTGTGAAGCATGACCTTGGAGAGGCCAAAGGGAGCAGCTGGCAGTCACAGAAGCAGCTGGAGAATACTCTGTCTTAACCAAATGTTTGCACAATAAGCTTGGGCAATTGGGAATCTGCGGCAATGCAAACAGCAGTACTAATGTCCAGAGAGAAGAGACAGGCCGTGCAGAGGAGCTGAAGGGAGCAGGGAGGGAAAAAGTGGAGAAAGAGAGTTGGGATGGACTCTGCCTTGCAGGGAAATCCTGTGCATCCCCCCAGCTGAGACAGGTACGCTGCTCTCCCAAGGACGCGTGGTGCTCACTCACCTGTCCATGACACCCCCTGAATCTCCACTCCGCCCACGACTGGGTGCCAGGGAATCCAGTTCATCAAAGAAGATAATGCAGGGAGCAGCTGCCCTGGCTCTGGCAAACACTGGGAGGAGACAGCACAAAAGGTGAGAAAGACCTGGAGGAGCAGTCAACAGCAACAGGACCTGCTACATCACCAGCAGGGAAGAGCTGTGGATGGAAACCAGCTGCCCTCTGCCTCGCTACCACCAACTGCTCCTGCCTGAGGGGCTCAGTAGGAGCGGGTACAAGCAGCACCCAGCACAATGGGCCCTGAGGCTCAGCTGTCTCTCTGAGGGGCTGCTGTCCCATCAGGAACACCAGGGACAAGAGCGACAGGAGCAGAGAGAGCAGGAGGGGAAGCTGCAGCAAGGCAGGGAACAGACTGGGTGTAGGAGACAGTTGGGTTCGTGCCCTTGCTGGCAGCTGTGGGTGGGAGTTGGGAAGAGGGGTTTAAGCACTACCTCCTTCCCTCCAGCACCACAGAAAAGCCCCATCTTCCCAACATGCAGGAGCAGGATGCATTTCCTCACCATTACGCACGTTCTCCTCACTTTGCCCAACGTACATGTTGATGAGCTCTGGCCCTTTCACGCTGTGGGGCAGCAGAAGAGGGAGCCAGTTAGAGCATGCCCATCCACTGCCAGGAGGAAGTCAGTCCCATTGCGTGACCCCCACTCTTCACCTAAGGAACGTCATGGCGCACGTGGTTGCCACAGCTTTTGCCAGCAAGGTCTTCCCTGTCCCTGGAGGCCCGTACAGCAGCAGACCAGAGCGGCACAGACCCAGCGACAGCAGCTCTGGGTGCTCCAGGGGCAACTGGATAGTGTCCAGGATCTCCTTCTTCACCTCCTGGAGCCCACCAACGTCCTGCCAGGACACGGAAGGGATCTGCCAAAAGAAGGAGAGTCCCTGTCAGCACTTATTCCTGAGTCCCGAGCGTGCCTCAGCAGCTCTTGCTCCAGTCATCAGCCCCTTGTGCCGTCAGCTGTGTCTGCCTATGTAGCAAGTCAGCCCTGCACTGCACTGCTCAGCCATCCCGGCTGTGGGATCCCCCAGCATCCACATTTCCCCTCTCCTCAGCTTTGCAATGGGGAAAACAAACTGCACATGTCCCCAGACAAGCTGCACTTGCAGCCTGTCACCTCATCTCCAGTCCTCCATTGCACCTCATATCACCTGTCAGCAAAAATACCCCAGGGAAAGCATCTGCCAGGGTTGCCTGCAGCTTTGTGGGGAGAGAGCCCTGCTGCAGACAGCCCTTGGGACATGTGAGGGAAGGTAAAAATAAGAAAGGAAAAAAAAAAACCCAAAACCCAGACCTAGCAATTATGATCTACTTGTGTTCAGTACACCTTGTCCCCCAGGATGGTGAGACTGTGCAAGGGCTTCACACCAGAGCGACAAAACCTGGGCTACTGGGACCTCTGTCATGTGAAGGAGGATGTGAGAGACAGACATCCTGGGGGACACTGTACAGAAAACTAGCTGCTTTTGAAAGGGGGGATGCAAGAACAAAGTCCATGGATGCTTACAAGAAATAGATATGGATGGGGTCAACTGCAAACACGCAAGGGATCATTTCAAAGAGCAGAAAGACAGCAAACATGAGAGGGGTGAGCCATGCCACTTTCGTTACTTTATGCTGAGCAAAACAATCTCGGAGGATGCTGCTGCTCTGCTCACAGCTTTAGAAATAGCAGGAATGCCACAGTCTGCATGACAGATCCTCCTGAGAGTCAGAGCAGCTCTCCTGGGAACGTGCAGAGAAAGCAAAGCCCCAAAACACTTCCCCCCAGCTGCTGGCTGGGTGGGGAACAGGTGCCAGCACAAACGGGGAGTTTAAAAATAGGCTAGAGCAAAATTCTTTCCCCCTCAGCCAGTCTGGCTCTCCTTCCTTCACTACTTGAGGTGATGTTATCTCATGCTGTTTCTCCAGCTGTCCAGCAAGTCCACCAGGAAAATCAGGTCAGACAAGATAAGGATTTCCAGAAAAAAAAAAAAAAAAAAAAATCTTTCAAAGCAAAAGGTCGCAGGCCCTCCTTCTTCAGTGCTGATGAACGGAAGAGTTGCCTTCTCCCCTCCGCTCTTGCTTATACTGCCTCGCTAGAAAAAGTTCTACAGACATCAGCACGGGAGCTGGAAAACTGCAGCAAGGTTGTTTTCAGGGGAGAACATCTTAAGTCTAGGACATGTTGCAGACACTGCTAGCAACTGGAGGCTTGAAATTAGTTCTCTCTAGGAGGCTCAAGCTGTAACTGCAAAGAAACGTGCGACTAACCAGAAAATGCAAGCGGGGAATTGAAAGTTATGTATGTTGAGAGTATCCAGGACTGCTAATGGGCTGTCTGAATCGCAGCCAATTACTAAGAAATTGATAAAGGATTGTAAAATACAAACAAAATTAGCTCCCATTCACACAGCTCACTGCCAAGCATGCTCTGTGGTTATTATTTGTCTTATAGCGAACTTGGCAAACATGCCTCAAAGCAGAGCTCATTTCAGTCTCTAGTAAATTTATGAATTAATTAAGTCCCGGAGTAGCTCCTGGATGATGACACCAGCAAGGTGTCAACCTGCTAGGGCAGGACTGCAAGTGGGTGGCTTGGGGAAGGCGCCAGAATAACTGCTCCAAGGCCAGCATTTCCTGTCCTGTGCTGAGCTCAGTTATTCGCACTTGAGGGCGTGGAGAAGAGGCTCCGATCACTTCGCTTGGTCCTAACACCACGTTACCCAGCAAAAACAGTCACCCCAAATGCTGTTTCGTTTCCCTGGGTGCTGAGCTGCCAGAGGTGGATCACATCCCTCCCAAGAAGCTGACTCCGCTGGTTTTCTCTGACACTCCGTGTGTCCCTTTCCCTGAAGAACCCCCAAGCTCTTCAAACTGCCCAGCTGTCAGAAAAGCCCGTGCCAACTTGAGCAGCGTCCAAGGCCAGGGATCAAGTATAAGGCTTCTCACACGTGTGGGGAAACTCCCTCACCAGCTTGTGCCCCAGCCTCTCTGTTCCCATACACCAGGTGGCTGGAGAGACCTCAGCAAGGCAGCCAGCCTGCAGTTGCCTTTGCCTCTCAAAAGGCTGAGCTACACAGCTGGCACCCCTGTGGCACTGGGCAATTGAGCGGCCTCCAATTAGAGCGGCAAGGGCTTCCCTGACCAAATTCAAAGCCAAGAGGGTGAAAAGCACTAGTGGGGGGAAACCCACAGCGGGACTGTTTTCCATCCAAGGCTGGGGGAATACGTGGAAGGACACAGCAGGAAGTGACATGCCAGAGCACGGCCCCGTCTGGTGAGGTCTGCGAGAGACATCTTGAGCCACAAAGCTCTGGAGAACCAACCCCCCTTCCTCTGCCCCAGCATCCTACCTTCGGGGCTCCCACTGCCTGCGAATGGGCGTCATGCAGTTGGTCCAGCGCAACACTGAAATCCTCCTCAAGCACTGGGAACCCAGCAGTGCAAAAATCTCTCTCCACTTCCTCCCTCAG